AAGCGAGAGAGAGGCATGGACATATATACACTAACAAACGTAAGGTAGATAGCTAGTGGGAAGCAGCCACATAGCACAGGGATATCAGCTCGGTGCTTTGTGACCGCCTGGAGGGGTGGGATAGGCAGGGTGGGAGGGAGGGAGATGCAAGAGGGAAGAGATATGGGAACATATGTATATGTATAACTGATTCACTTTGTTATAAAGCAGAAACTAACACACCATTGTAAAGCAATTATACCCCAATAAAGATGTTAAAAAAAAATCGTGTTTTCATTGTAATTATTGTCAAGGTTTGGGATGCTCATCTCCATGGGTAATTCAAAAACTACTCCGGAGGCAGAGCTGCCAGGCTCTGAGGAGTAGCAAGTGTCTATTAATTGATAGTTTTCTCTTCTGTCTCTCCTCTCCCTAGGTAATTTTTCAAGAGGCCCTTGTGGCAGGACATGAGGACAATGGCAGACTGCAAAAATGACCGCATCACTTTGCAATTCCTCCCATGAAGAGATGAGGTCTATTTCCCAAGCCTCTGAATCTAGGCTGGCCTTATGCCTTGCATTGACTAATAGAATGTGGTGGAAATGACAGTGTGCAGATTCTGAACTAGATCTTTGTGGCTTTCATTTTCACTACTCTTTCATTTTCACTACATTCACTACTCCATCATGTGAATAAGCCCAGGCTAGCCTGCTTAAGGATACAAGACCAGTGGAACAGAGACAAGGTGTTCCAGCTGACACACGCCTACACCAACCAGCCCTCAGCCGTATAAGTAGCAGAACTGTCAGGCTGAGCCCCACCTAAATCACCAACTCATAGAATTATGGGCCAAAAAAATGCTTGTTGTTTTAAGCCACTAAGTTTTGGAGTGGTGTGTTACACAGCAAGAGCTAACTGACACAAGATCAAACCTAATGAAACTCTCCTGAGCTGAGCATGAGTAAGAAGCCACTTACTGGCCTTTGTATCAATCGGCATGCTTTCGTTCAGCATTTCATGTACGCAAAGAATGACCATATAACTCAAACCAGCATGTTTTGAGAGTAAACTCGGACTATCTCAGGCAAACGGGGATATATGGTCACCTTAAATTAGCAATATTGTACTGATAGTTATCTCTTTATGCTTTCCTGAATCACAGAATGTCACCGCTGGCAGGGAATCTAGAGAGCTTCCTCCACTCCTGTATTTCACAGAGGAGGAAATATGGGGTCCAGAGTTGAGAAGTGACTTTCCCATGATTGCACAGCTCATGAATCGTGTGGGAAAAGCCACTATAGTAAATGGTAGCATGAGAACGCTCCAGAGTCAGGAGACTTGGGTTCGAGTCTAGCTGCTCTCACTAGTACAGCTGTGCAATCTTGCCCTGTAGTTCTATGTGGTCATGCTTTGTTTCCTCTACTGAGTTTAGAGCATCTTAAAAATGGGAATTGTGACTGATGTGTCTTTATATCTCTTTTAGGGCATAAGCCTGATGCCTGGCATATAATAGGTGCTCAATAAATATTTGCCGAGGAAATCTAGAAACACCCAGTGTTCTACCTAGGAGTCTCATTTCTGCTTGGAACAGCACATGGTATACTCAGAAAGAAACAGAAAAAAATCCAGTCCATCCAGGGATGGCCCTTGGGGGTGCAGTGAGGAAAAGCCCCATTGGCTACCCCAGCGCACGCTGCAGGGGCTGGCTCCCACGGGATGCTGCTCAGCGAATGACCAGTCAGCAGTACTACAGGGGGGACATCATGTTCAGCTGTATTTGCTTGCTTTGAACCCCTCAGGATAAGAGTATCAGCCTCTGTTTTGATCCAGGTAACTACAGCCATGGTGGAATCCTGTTTGCTATCTAGGAGTTACAGGTTGAGAACTCTGATCTTCCCTAACAGTTTCCTTGACCTATCAGATCAGATCACGGAGGGGACGAACACTTTGCCAGCCTTTGCTCTAAGAGTCCCATGCAACCCTGAGATTCTAGGGCCTTGAGTCATAGGCAGCTTCCTCCCATTCCTGCACATCTTCCTGATGGCTTCAGCAGTTGTGTGCTGACATCAGTCACTCATTTGTTAAAAAATTTATTTTTTATTTATTTATTTTTTTGGCGGTACGCAGGCCTCTCACTGCTGTGGCCTCTCCCGTTGCAGAGCACAGGCTCTGGACGCGGAGGCTCAGCGGCCATGGCTCACGGGCCCAGCCGCTCCGCGGCATGTGGGATCTTCCCGGACCGGGGCACGAACCCGTGTCCCCTGCATCGGCAGGCGGACTCTCAACCACTGCGCCACCAGGGAAGCCCTAAAAATTTATTTTTAAAATTATTATTAAAATTTTAAAATTGAGGTATAGTTGATTTATAATATTGTGTTAGTTTCAGGTGTACAGTACAGCAATTCAGTTATATATTGGGTTAGTCAAAAAGTTCGTTCAGCTTTAAGTGAAAATAAAAGACATTTTTCATTTTCACCAAGAATTTTATTGAACAATGTATTCACTAACCGAACGAAATTTTTGGCCAAACCAATATATATTATATGTATTCTTCTTCAGATTCTCTTCCCTTATAGGTTATTACAAGATATTGAGTATAGTTCCCTGTGCTCTACAGCAGGTCCTTGTTAGTTATCTATTTGATAACATCAGTCAGTCTTATCAGTGAACCAGGCCCCTCTACTCTGGGCCATATCACTCTAGGCCTGCTGTGGGGATTTAGAAAACCCTGTCTGTCTCCCTCATTTTCCTCCCTGAGCTAAGCAAAAGCATTGGACTAAACAGCAGAGCAATGGCGACACAGAGAGAGAGACAGAGAGAATGAGTGAGTGAGTGCATGTGAGCACGCACATCTCAGAAATGTCAATGTGATGGGAGCCAGGAAGAAACTGAACGCATTCCAGCTATTTGGCTGCAGGTTTCCAGGAAGCCAGGCCTTTGCATACAGCAGATGCTCTGTAACAGCATCTTGAACAAAGAAACCTAGATAGCACCTTAAGTGAGCCACACCTGCTACATTCACCCTTTCCTAGGAATCGTCTAATGTCAGGAGTCCTTAAATGAGGGGTCATTCCTGGCCTGTACTTGACAAGACAAGGCTCTCTATCAGGTTGGATTATTTCTAGGTCAGGGTAACGAGACAGGATTTTTCTCCAGTCTTTTTCAAGGGAGGAAGGTGTGATCATCACAGGGCTCTCGAAGAGGGATGCTACATTATGCTGGATGTTACCACAGTATTCTATTCCAAATGCTTTTAGAAATAATGTTTTCAGATTTCTACCTTCTGGCGTCAAGAAATATGAGGAAGAGGGGCTTCCCTGGTGGCGCAGTGGTTGAGAGTCCGCCTGCCGATGCAAGGGACACGGGTTCGTGCCCCGGTCCGGGAAGATCCCACATGCCGCAGAGTGGCTGGGCCCGTGAGCCATGGCCACTGAGCCTCCGCGTCCGGAGCCTGTGCTCCACAATGGGAGAGGCCACAGCAGTGAGAGGCCCGCGTACCACGAAAAAAAAAAAAAAAAAAGAATGAGGAAGAGCCCAAGCTGTGTGGTCACACGGGCCTGGGTCTGAATCTCAGCTCTATGACCTAGGAAGTGACCAGGCTTGAGCTAGTTAACTCTTTTTGCCTAAGTTTCTTTCTACTTATGCCAATTATATGTGTGTATATATATATATATATATATATATAAAATTATATATATATAGTGCAGGCATATATATATATATATATATATATATATATACACACATATGCCCATACTAGATGTTTTCTGAGATTTACAATAGAATTTATGGAGTATACCAAGGATAGAGCATGATACATAGTAGGTACACACTTTTGTTGAATGAGTACGTGTGTGTATAGGGCCATAATAAAAAGTAGAGCTGTTTCTCCTTATCTCTCATTAGTTCTTTCACCCTTTGGGACAGTGGCCCAGGAACCCAGTTTGACACTACTGGGAAAGGATGTTCTTTTGATTTGATCTACATTCAGACTGTACTTTGCTGATTATAAGATGGTATTGTGTTCACAGCACCCAGTACATAATAGCGGCAGATAATAATATTGATTATGGTAAGGATAATAATACTGGTGGGAGCAGATCAGACATACAGGCATTTACACCAGACGAATGCATTTCTGGAAATTATTTTTTGAATCGAATGAATCATTCGTGTACACAAATATTCAACAAAATGTGAGTCACCCTTCTGCCTCAGACCTTCAGTTCCCCTTTGCAGAGACAATCACTGTAGTGGTTTTAAACCACGGTCACAAGTTCTCTGAAACTGCTGCCATCAAGGGTGTCATATGCTACAGGACACCGATATATTCTAGGGAGACTTCTTATCTCCTCCCCTTTAATCAAGACAGACTTATGACTGCTTTGAGTAGTAGGGTTCAGTGGAGGTGACTCTGTGACTGCTGAGACTAGGCCATCAGAGACAATGTAGCTTCTCCTTGTGTTGCTAGAACACTCACTCTTGGAGTCCTGATCTCTTATGTAAGACATCTGACTATCCTGATGCCTCCATACTGTGAGAAAACCCTAGTCACGTAGAGAGGCCACGTTAGGCTCTCCAGTAGACAATCCCAGCTGAGCCCAGAATTTGAATCATCTCTGCCCAGGTGCCAGAAACATGAGCCAGGACATCTCCAGATGATTCCAGCCCCCAGCCACTTGAGTCTTCCCAGCTGAGGCCCCAAACACTGTGGAGCAGAGACCAGCCATCCCCAACGTGTCCATTTGAATTACTGATCCACAGGATCCACGAGCAGAATAAAATGGTTGTCATTTCATACCACTAAGTTTTGGGGTCGTTCATTACGTAGTTTCAACAGCCAGAACCATCACTATTATCGTGTATTTGTCCAGAGAAATTTCAGGCACAGATATAGGAATATACATGTGTATGCGTCACCCCCTTTTCCTTTTAAGACAAGTAGAAGCAGGCTATGCATACTGCTATATGCTGCACTTTTTACAAGAAATTCATTTCAAAAAAAAAAATGCTTTACTCACAGGTTTGCGAACATCAGGTAAGGTAATCCAGAGAGGAAACACTATGGGGAAAACAACCAGGAACGTGACTTGCTTGTGGGTATCGGAAGGCCAGGCCAGGCTGAGAGGCTGGTCCTCCTCGTCTTCACCTGTCTCTGTGGTCTGTTGTAGAAAGAGAGAGAGAGAGAACATGAACAAAAAAGACAATAACATCTGCAGGCCACAAAGCAAGGAGAGAAGTTCCGGATCTCATTAGGAGTTTTCTTGGGTCATCTCAGCTGCTTCATCCATGTAATTTTTAGGTTTGTAAGAGAACCCCACCTTGTCATAGTCTGAATCCCAGGAACAAACAATACATTGCTCAGCCATGAGAATTTAAGAACTTTCTTTCCTTTCCCTGAACACTCTCCAGCTTCTCACTTTCCTGAATTGATCCTTCAACTGGAGTGGACTCTGATCCATGAACTTAGGAGAAACCATACCTGCAGAGCAAAAGACCCCAATGCCAACTTTCTTCTCTCTTCTTGAGGAGAAAGCCACAGGATTCAGAATCCTTGGGAATACATTTTTTTAAATTAAAATAATTAAAAATCATTTTTTTAGAACACTGATTTGGTGTGGGCAAATGAAAGTAACCACAGAAATCAGTCAGTAACAATACTCAACTCCCTTCAGTGACCCTGGAATAGTTAAGTTCATGGATTATTGTGTGGTTGTGAGTTTCTAACCTGCTTAATCACCTCGTTAAATTCTAAACCATTTTATTTCCGGCCAAAGGCTTATTATGCAAACATATATATGCATTCACAGAGAAACAGAGTATGGAAGTAGAGGATGCTAAACCTGTGGGGGTCGAGCACACAGGGCTGCAGAGCCAGGGGGTAAACTTCAGAGTTTCTGACCTGGCAGCAAGCGGCCAGCGTATTATTCGCTGCCTGCTGAGGTCAGCAGCTTCTGAGGTCCCAGAGCTAGAAGGGACAGAAGGTGGATCAGGGCCTGGCAGGATGACCATTAGCCTGTCAGATGGGCCCTCCAAGCCTCCGAAACAGCACTGCAGACAGCATCAATCACTCCCTTCTCTGCTTGTTTAAAAATGAAAGTGCAGCAGCAGGACCAAGCGTCAGGTCTAAAAATATCAATAGGAACATTTCCATGGATGCTTCCTTTTGAGACCATATAAATAACCCACACAGGCTTCATACAGCTCCTGCCCTCCCCCCTGCCCCCCACCCATGGCTCTTGCTTCCAGCATGCTGTGCTATTTCAAGCAGCACTGAATCCCCCCAGCACTTCTCTCCCTAGGGAGGTGGTAAGTGGGCCAGGCTTGGGCAAGTTGTCTTAGAGGAAAAGGATAAGACTAGAGGCAGGGCTGGGTGTGAGGCCCGACTTGCTGCATTTTTTTTTTTTTTTCGGTACGCAGGCCTCTCACTGTTGTGGCCTCTCCCATTGCGGAGCACAGGCTCAGTGGCCATGGGCCAGCCGCTCCGTGGCATGTGGGATCTTCCCGGACCGGGGCATGAACCCGTGTCCCTTGCGTCGGCAGGCAGACTCTCAACCATTGCGCCACCAGGAAAGCCCATGTTATGTTTATTATTTATAATTTACACCCTAGTACTGCCAAAAGGATTTGTAGTGGTTTACACAATCACCCCCACTTTCTCTCCAGAAGTTAAAATTTTAAAAAAATTATTTAAAAAAGCTAATCTTAAGCCATGCTGAAAAAGGTTCTTTCTCTTTCATGTATGTCCTTGGCAGTGGGTGAACGAATTTTAAACACCAAATATGAGGGAAATAAAGAGGATTAGGGAATAAGGCAGAATTAGGAAGTCAGCGCGGTTTATTCGGGTTGTCTGGATCCTTATTAAATATACTTCTTATGCTCCCCATCTCTTTGCTATGCAATATGTTGGAAAAGAAGGAAGATCTAAAATCAGTAATCTACATTTCCACCTTAGGAAACTAGAAAAAGAAGAGCAAATTAAATCCAAAGTAAGCAGAAGAAAAGAAATAATAAACATTAGGGCAGAAATCAATAAAGTTCAACTAATCTATTACAAAGGAGGCAAGGATATACAATGGAGAAAAGATAGTCTCTTCAATACGGGGTGCTGGGAAAACTGGTCAGCTACATGTCAAAGAATGAAATTAGAACACTACCTAACACCATATGCAAAAATAAACTCAGAATGGATTAAAGACCTAAATGTAAGACCGGACACTATAAAACTCTTAGAGAAAACAAAGGAAGAACACTCTTTGACATAAATCACAGCAAGATCTTTTTTGACCCACCTCCTAGAGTAATGGAAATAAAAACAAAAATAAACAAATGGAACATAATGAAACTTACAATCATTTGCACAGCAAAGGAAACTATAAACAATACGAAAAGACAAACCTAGAATGGGAGAAAATATTTGCAAATGAATCAATGGACAAAAGATTAATCTCCAAAATATATAAACAGCTCACGCAGCTCAATATTAAAAAAACAAACCACCCAATCAAAAAATGGGCAGGAGACCTAAACAGACATTTCTCCAAAGAAGACACACAGATGGCCAAGAAGCACATGAAAAGCTGCTCAACATCACTAATTATTAGAGAAACGCAAATCAAAACTACAGTGAGATACCACCTCACACCAGTCAGAATGGGCATCATCAGAAAATCTACAAACAACAAATGCTGGAGAGGGTGTGGAGAAAAGGGAACCCTCTTGCACTAT